TATTTGAGGGACAATTTTGCTGGGTATATAATTCTTGGTTGGAAAATTTTCTCTCTCAGGGTTTTATATATACCATCCCATTGTCTTCTTGCCTGCATAGCTTCTGCCAAGAAATCCAAGCTTAGTCTTATTGGTTGCCCCTTGTACGTAACTTTTCATTTTTCCCATTCTGCTTTCAGGATTCTTTCTTTGTCTTTGGCTTTGGTGAGTTTGATGATGATATATCTTGGTGATTTTCTTTTGGCGTCTATCCTTTTTGGGGTTCATTTTTCATCATACCAGGAAAATTCTCTTCCAACAAATCTTTGACAATTTTTTCTGTGGTTTTATTTGTCTCTTCCTGTTCTGGAATTCTGATTACATGTAGGTTATTCTGTTTGATGGTATCCTACATGAATCTTAGGCTTTCTTCATTTTGTTTTGATCTTTTATTCTGATTGATCCCTTTCCAAAGAATTATTGAGGTATTTGCCTTCAATTTCACTAACTCTATCTTCCATTGATTCAATTCTGCTCCTTTGCCCATTCAATGTGTTATCTATTTCTGAAAATTTAGTTATTAATCTTCTGGATTTCTGCCTGTAGATTTGTGTTTTCCTCCATTTTTTCAGTGCTTTCCTTGATCTGTTTTTCAATTCGTGGAAGGTACCTAAATATGATTCTTTTGAATTCCTTATCAGGGAGTTCCAATGCTGCGTCTTCCTCAGGAATGTGTTTTGGATCTGTGACCTGGTCCCTTGTTTCTCCTTCTTTATCTTGCTTCTTTGTGTGGACTGTGATATTCTGTTGTTTCTGTGGCATTGTGACATATTTGTGTTTATATTTAATTGGTGATTGTATGTTGAAGTGACTTGCCCATGATTTTTGTTTTGTTTGTATGTTATCTGTATAAGCAGGGTACTGTGCTTTGCTCCTCCATTCGCTACTTGGCAGCACTTATATACTTACCACCTGTCTCCTTTCCCATTGTCAGCCTCCCGTATGTCCCCACCATCCTTGGCAAATGGAGCCTATTCTTAGGTCTCTGGAATCTGAATGAGAATGCTGTCACTTTAAAATCCAAAATGGCCACTGCCTGTAAACATTCAAAATGGCTGTGCCTTCAATCACTTTAAATATCCAAAATGGCTGCTACTTGTAAATAATCAAAATGGCTGCGCCCTCCAGACAGCTGAAAGTCCACAGCTCAGGGTGCCCCCCTCCTTGCTGTACCCCTTCCTAGTCATAGGCCACCAGCGCAGTTATCCCTGTAGCCCTTAGCGATCAGAGCTGATCTTTAGGTCAGCTCTCAGGTCCCAACACCACTTGGAAATATTCAGGCTGTTGGCCCCATCAGAGCAGCTGACAGTCCACTGCTCCAACCCATCTTCATATTCACTGTTTCTGTTCAAGTTTTTCCCAAGCCTCGTCTTTTTTATGATTTTGAATTTTGTTTCTCACTTCCCCCTACTCTATTCAGATCTCCAGTTATGATCCCTTTCTGAGTGGTTGGCAATGTCAGCTGGGTACCATCTAATTCATCTGGTCTTGGGGTCATAGAGGCTGAGGTTCCCATGGTCCACTAATCCCTTGAACTAACTGTTTTCATGTGTCTTTGATTTTGTCATTTTTCTTTACTCTGGACAAAGAAAGATCAATAGTTGCATCTTAGATGGCTATTTGCAAGCTTTTAAGATCCCAGTCATTACTCACCACAGTAGTGTGTACACAATAAAGTTTTTGTGTACTATGTCATGCACCTTTGTCTAAAAACAGCTGGGAGTATTGTGTGGGTCTATTTCTGGGTTCTCTATTATGTTACATCTTCCTTCTGTCAATACTACCCAGTCTATATAACACCTCCTGAAATTAGGTGGACTGATTCCTCCTGCTTTATTCTTTAAAAAAAAAAAAACAAAAACAGGGCTATTCTGGTTCCTGTGCTTTTCCATATGAATTTTAGAATAATCTTGTCTAGATAAATAGGTGATAGCTACCACCGAGTTGACACCGATTCATGGTTACATTATGTGCAACAGAAGGAAATGGCTGCCCACTCCTGCATCATCTTCATGTTTACCAGTATGTTTGAGCCCACTGCTGTGGCTACTGTGCCAGTCCATCTCACCAAGGGTCTCCCACGCCCTTGCCAGCCCTCTGCTTCACCAAACACGATGTCCTCCTCCAGCGAATGATCCTTCCTGATGACGTGTCCAAAGCAAGAGAGTCAGACAATGTTCAGTTGTGATTCATAAGATTTTCACTGGCTAATTTTTGGAAGCAGATCACCAAGCCTTTCTTCCTAATCTGTTTTGGTCTGAAGTACTGCTAAAACCTGTCCACCATGAGTAACTCTACTGGTATTTAAAATACCCAGTTCAAAGTTGGTGGCTGCCAGACCAAAGCTGATAAAGATAGGTAGGGGTCAAATTCAAAGCGAGACATATATAATCACTTGCACATTTTTAGGATAGTTCTTTCAGAGACTAGACTATTGACAAATTGAAAAAATTCTTTCCGAGACTGGATTATTGACAGATTGATTTGGAGAGAAAACATCTGATGCCAAAGAACTTTGGAGATATGTCATCTGTTTAACTCAAGATTCAAATTTGATCCATAAGGACATAGTTTCATAAAGTTCTGGGCAATCACTTTTTTTTTTTTTTTTTAATAGTTACATTATATTCCTCCCTACATGGTAAATATCCATGGATTTGTTTCAAACATAGGATTTCATATTAATGCTATCACATTTGTTTCAACTAAAAATAAAGAAATATAGGGGCTTTGTTTAACTTTCAAGGTACAGGAAATGAAATACAATAGTAATAGAGTTTCAAGAAAATCATCTGAACATTTTTATGTGTTTTCTGCATGTGTCAGTTTATATTCCAGTCTGCCAATGACAATACGGCCCTTATGAAAAGGCCAACTTAATTGTGAAACCAAAACAATGTGAGGAACCATGGGCTCACCTTCACAAAGCATGTAAAATTCCTGACTGTTTTGTAACACATTAACAATACTTTCTGCAGTGCATGTTTAAAGAATAAAGATGTAACGGACAGAACACCTTCTCTTCAGAGAATATATTGCACCCATTATTGTATCATTATGAGTTTACAAAAAGGTTGTGATAATAAGTTAAACAGAAGTCTTGGAAATTAAAAGAAATAATGTTGTTGTTTGTTGTTGTTATGTGCCGTCGAGTCGGCCCCGACTCATAGCGACCCCTCCCTGGGTTTCCGAGGCAGTATCACTACGGAAGTAGGATTGCCCAACCTTCCTTCCGAGGAGTGACTGGTGGGTTTGAACCACCAGCCTTCTGGTTAGCAGTCAAGTGCTTTAGCCACTATGCTACCAGAGCTCCTAAAGAAATAATAGGATAAATAAAAAATTTAACAGAAACCTAATAAAATATCTAAGATAACCGAATAAAATTTTAAAAAATTAGACAGCAAAGGGGAGAAAAAAAGAGAAGACAGAGGACTAGATTGATTTAAGAAGTTCAATATTCAAACAATAAAAATTTTAAAGAGAAAATGAGGAAATGAAACTCAAATCAAAATTAAATTCAGATAAAGCTAAAATGTAAAAACAACAGATAACTAATCAAAAAACCAAAACAGGCCCAAAGAGTTTTACCACAATATTCTAGCAAACCTTCAAAATACAAACATATGTTGATGCTTTTGAGTTGTGCTATTATTGAATAATACTGAAAGTACCACGGACTAACAGAACTAAATCTGTCCTGGAGGAAGTGCAGCCAGAACACTCCTTGGAAGCAAGAACGGCCAGACTTCACCTCACCTACTTTGGTCGTGTTGTCAGAAGGGACCATTTCCTGGAGAAGGCTATCGTGCTTGGTAAAGTGGAGGGTCAATGAAAAGGGGGAAGGACTTCGACGAGATGGATTGACACAGTGGCTGCAAGGATGGGCTCAGGTGTAGCAAGGATGGTGAGGGCACTGTTTTGTTCTGTTGTACACAGGGTTGCTATGAGTCGGCATCGACTTGACAGCTCCTCACATACCTCTTCTGCTGCAGTGTCTCATCCAGGACTTCCTGCTTGTCCTGTAACATCCGGTGGAGGTGCCTCATCTCCTGCTGGTACTGAGCTGTCTTGCCAGCAAAGTCCTCCTGCTGCTCCATCAGGCGGTGAGTGGTGTCATCCAGCTGCAGTGCTTCCTGCTTCTTATAGCCCTGGAGGAGAAGCACTGAGTGAGTGAGAAGAATGCTGCCTGCGGCCTAGGCTGACAATGCAGCCTCCTCCCACTTCCATATGCATTCCCTACCTACACTTGGGAGTCCCTGGGTGGTGCAAACCATTAAAGTGCTCAGCTACTAACTAAAAGGTTGGCAGTAAAAACCCACCCAGGGGCACCTTGGAAGAAGGGCCTGGTGATCTGCTTCCAAAAGGTCACAGCCATGGAAACCTTATGGGGCAGCTCTACTGTGAAACACATGGGTTCACCATGAGTGATGGAAACTGGTTTGATTTTTCTTTTGTCAACCTACATCTTGGGATGTCAGAGTCCGCTAAGTTGAGTACATCCTACGTAAGTCTGATCTGGGATGGCAATTCTGGATCATAAAAGTCATGAAGTGATAAAATAATTTTTGGTACAATAAAACCAAATTTCTAATTAGTATAATCCCTATATTTTTATACACTACACACAAAATAAAAACATAAAAATATGACCATTATAGAACAAGCTGAATGTTATAGGTAATGAATCTGCTTTCGCATTTTTCTCCAGGACAATTTTTGCCCTTTGGTCAGCTGGTAACTTATGAAATAATGTTGATACTTGTTAGCAACGTTTTAAAATTACCAAGAAAGCCTCCATTTAAGAACCCAACAAGGCTTATCATTCTCCATAGTCAAACAGAGGAGTGAGATAAAAGCCTAATTTATTTCTTTTCAATTTTTATGAATATAAGTACTTAACGTTATTAATTTTCTCTAAGCATTTCTAAAACAGTTGTTACACAGATTCCCATAGTGTTCTCATCATTTTTTTTTTTATGAAATTCTGAAATTCAGTTTTGTGTACCCTCTGACCATTGTTTAGTGCATAGCTTTTACATATCCAGGTGAAAGAACCATTTTATTTTGATTTTAAAAAATTAATTTCTGTTTTTCTTATCTGTGATAAACAAATATCTGCACAATTTCTACTTTATAGATTTATTGAGATTTTCTTTGTGGCCATTTTATAATCAATTTTGTGGCTGTTCTGTATATATACATAAGATATCCCTTTTAAATCCTTATGTATGTTTTAACCTCCTGATCTGTCTTGGACCAAGAGAAGTGGATTAATTATTACTATTTTTTTTTTTTAATTGTGATTGAGTCGATTCTGACTCATGGTGACTCCATGTGTGTCAGAGTAGAAATCCACAGGATTTTCAATGGCTGTTTTTTGGAAGTAGACTACCAGGCCTTTATTTCAAGGTGGACTTGAACCTCCAGCCTTTTGGTTAGCAGCTGAGCATGTTAACCATTTGCACCCTCAGACACATGAGTCAGTCAACTCAATAGGGAACTAGTTTTACTAATAATCGTTGTTGTTGTTGTTAGGTGCTGTCAAGTTGGTTCTGACTCATAAGGACCCTATGTAAAACACAGTGTAACACTGCTTGATCCTGCTCCGTCCTCATAATTGTTGCTATGTTTGGACAAATTACTTCAATCACTGTGTCAGTCCATCTCATTGAAGGCCTTCCTCTTTTTCTGCTGACCCTCTGCTTTACCAAGCATGATGTCTTTTTCCAGGAATTGGTTCCTCCTGATAACATGACCAAAGTACGTAAGACAAAGTTTTACCATCCTCGCATCTAAGGAACATTATGGCTATACTTCTTCTAAGACAGCTTTGTTCATTCTTCTGGCAGTCCATGGTGTATTCAATATTCTTCACCAACACCATAATTCAAATGCATCAATTCTTCTTCAGCACTCCTTACTCATTTTCCAATTTTCACACATTCATATGAGATGACTGAAAATACCATGGCCTGGATCAGGTGCATCTTAGTCCTCATAGTGATATATTTACTTTTTAACACTTTGCAGAAGTCTTTTGTAGCAGATTTGCCAATGCAATATGTCATTTGATTTCCTGTCTGCTGCTTCTATGGGCATTGATTGTGGTTCCAAGTAAAATTAAATCCTTAAGAAATTCAATATTATCCCCATTTATAAGGATGTATTTATCAGTCAGGTTGTGAGGATTATGCTTTATGTTGAGGTGTAATCCACACTGCAGTCTTTGTAGCATCAGTAAGTGCCTCAAGTCCTCTTTGCTGTCAGCAAGAAAGATGGTGTCATCTACCTATTGCAGATTGTTAATGAATCTTCTTCCAATTGTGATACCATGTTCTCCTTCATATAGTCCAGCTTCTCAGATTATTTGCTGAGCATACAGATTGGTTATGCATGGTGAAAGGATACAACCCTGATGTACACCTCTCCTGATATTAAACAGTGCAGTATCACTTTATTTATTTATTTTATGCCCATTGAATGCTTCTGACCAGCTGTAAAGCGTGGTACAGTGAATTACTTAATATAGCCTTTTTAGCCATGGTATTTGTGACTACAACCAGATGAGTGATTGGGAATATGAAAATGTGAAGTCCACCAAGGGGATTAGACAGCTTGCTAACAATGTAAATAAGGTACATCCCACCCTTGTGAGGGTAGGATCATGCAAATAAGATGTACGGAACCATAATGTGAAGATTGGTCAGTTTTGCCATCTGCTGGGCCATCCAGCAGCAGAAAGTGGGGTGTCACTACCATCAAGAAAGTAGGACCAGGAGTGAAGTGTGTTCTTTGGACCTGAGATCCCTGTGCTGAATTTCCTCAACCTAGGAGACAGAGAGAGAACTGTAATAGTTTGCTGAGATGGTGAAAGATGGCAAGAAGCAGTGGCAGAGAGACAGCAGCAGAACCAAGAGACCAGCATGAGAAAAAGAGACCAGGAGGAGATAGAGGGATGTGCTTGCCGGCTAATGGAGTGAGACAGCTGAGTGCCTTCGGGCAGAGAGCTTGCTGGTGGAGTGGGATGCCTCTCTGGGTACTTCTCATCAGGGCTCAAAGAGTCTTGTAACACATACCTGAACAAGACAGAGGCCATGGAGCTGAGAGGTTGATGGTCAGTGAGAGGCACTACTGAGAAGATGCTCTCCTGATCAAACAACTCTATCTTGAATTGTTCCTGATCCTGAAATGAGATCAATTACTTCCTTGTTGTTATGAGATGCTTTCGAGTTGGCTCAGACTCATAGTGACCCCATGTAAGATAGAATGAAATACTGCCTGGCCCCGGGCCATCCACACAATCCTTGCTATGCTTGAACCCAGTTGTGTTAGACTGGGTTCTCTAGAGAAACAAAAACCAGCAAAGCTTATATCTATCTATCTATATATATATATATGGGGGGATAGAGAGAGAGAGAGAGAGAGAGAAATTTATCTTAGGAAAAATGGCTCACAAATGTATAGAAGCTGGCAAGTCCAAAGTCCCTGGAGGAAACGTCAGGCTGGAGGCAGCCTTAGCTTCCTCAACCACAGGGGGCTGAGAAATTCAAGGCTGGCAGGCAGGACATTGGTTGTTGGCTCCAACGAAAGATGAATCCAAGATCTCCAGGCTGAGTGGTGGGCTGCTCACTCACGGAAGGCTGTAGTCAGCACACCAGGGTCCCGATCCACAGAAGAATGTCTTTCTTCCCAGGATGTCCCTGGATATACTGGAAGCAGGCCACACCCCTAGGGAAACTCCCCTTGGGCAGATTGGCCACTCAGAACAAAGTCATCCGATACCATCATGGTAACAACCACACAGAACTGGTGTCCAGCCAAGTTGACACACAGCTCCAACTATCACACCAGTGTTGCAGTCCTCGTGTCAATCCATCCCACTGAGGACCTTCCCCTAATTTGTCGACCCTCCACTTTACCAAGCATGATAACCTTCTCCAGAAAATGGTCCCTTCTGACAACACGACCAAAGGAGGTGAAATGAAATCTGGCTATTCCTTCTTCTAAAGAACATTCTAGCTGTACTTTTTCCAGGACAGATTTGTTCATTCTTCTGGAAGTCCATGGTATGTTCAGTATTCTTAACCAACACCACAATTCAAAGGCACAAATTCTTCTTCGGTCTTCCTTATTCATTGTCCAGATTTCACATGCATATGAGGCAACTGAAAATACCATGGGTAGGATTAGGCACACCTCAGTCTTCAAAATGACATCTTTGTTTCTTAACACCTTAATATTTATTTATATTTTTCACTTTTATTGTGGTGAAAACATACACAACTATACATTTGGCAACATAACAACTTTCACATTTACAGCTCAGGGACATTGATGATATTTTTCATGTTGTGTAACCATTACTGCTATCCCTTTCCAAAATATTTCACCACTACCATAAACCCAATGCCCCGCAAACAAAAGCTTCCCCTTTCCACTTCCCTCCTATCCCGAGTAACCATTAATAATGTTTGGAGTGAATACACACATACAAACATATGTATATATAATTTTTTTTTCCTCCAACCTATCTAGGAACTTACAACCCCCTGCCCCAGGTAGCCAACAAAGAAAGTTCCCTTTCTTGTATTAAACTTTCCTTGACTAATACAGTATCTGTCCTGTGACTGACTTAGTTCACTTCAGCATAATGTCCTCCAAGTTCATCCACGTTATGTGGTGTTTTGCAGATACCACACTATTCTTTAGTGTTACATAGTATTCCATTGTGTGTATATGCCATAGTTGGGTTATCCCTTCCTCCATTCATGGGCACTTAGGTTGTTTCCATCTCTTTGCTATTGTGAACAGTGCTACAATGAACATGGGTATACATATATCTATTCATGTCCTGGTCCTCACTTCTTTAGGATATACCTTGTCATACAATTGATGGATCAAATGGTATTTCTATTTCCAACTTTTTAAGGAATTGCCTTACCAATTTCCACAGTGGTTGTATAATTTTACAGTCCCACCAGCAGTGTATGAGAGTTCCAATCTCTCCACATCCTTGTCAGCATTTGTTATTTTCTGTGTTGCTGACCTATGCTGGAGTGAGAGAGAATCTCATTGTTGTTTTGATCTGCATCTCTCTAAAGGCTAATGATCATGAACATTCCTGCATGTGTGTTGGCTGCCTGAATAT